AAATGAATTATTGTCTGTGTAGTTCAAGGATACACTGCTTGAAAGAAACGGTTTTTAAAAGAACACATGCTATATATAACGGCAGTACAGCTTGAATATCTCCGTCTAAACATATGAGAGAGTTTAATGTTACAGCTGCTTAATGGCTCATGTCTGATGAATTGAAAGATGGAACTTTGGGATTCAGGAAAGGTCACATGTCCCGTTTTAATGGGCTTGTGGTCTGTCTCTAAAATAAGACACATTAAATTACCAGATTCTTTAATGGGGTTTGGTGTGATATTCTTCTCAGACTTTACAAAATGAGATGGCACTTATTCCGGCTTATCTCTTGGATGACTGTTATGTGATATTGTTCACAGGAGGTTGCACAAGATGGTTACCATGGCATTTACACAGGCGTTTCTCCAGCTTTACTTTGCTCACAGATAATGGGTCAGGTCAAGCTACTCTGCTGCTTTCTCTCCTCCTCACTCGTGACGCGACTGAGACCCGGGTCATTTTAACCTCCCTCCACTCTGACTCGACGTCTTCACACAGAAATTAAAACCGCCTAGCTGCAATTTACAGCAGCTACATCATATTCCAGGAATACAGTGAATGTTTTATTGAAAGATAATGTAGCCTGGTGAGAAAAGAGGCCGTTCAGATGGTTAGAGGATGTATGGATAGTAACAGCTGCCAAGCCTGCAAGCTGCTCAAATGTAAGGCTGGATTTTCAAGTTGTTTGGTGGCTTCAGTGCAGCTTTCCTTGCTTTATGGCAGTAATACAAAATCTAAAAACAACATGGTAGTGTTAAAAACACAGTAAAGGTCACACCTGGTGTTATGTGACTATGTGAATGTGGTGTGTTGTGCCTTATGTGTAGCTTTATGGACATCAAGTCACTTGGGGAGTGCGGATTACACCCAGTCCAGATTCTACTCTCAGTCCAACAAAAATGACAACTTTTCAAAGGATGTTTCTTGATACATCAATGAGGGCTCAGGAAAGTTCCAAACTAGAAAAAACAACATTGGTGATCCCAGAGGGCTCTCGTGTGTGTTTTTTTTTTTTTTTTTTTTAGCCCTTGAAACACATTTTATTGTGAGTGCACAATCCTACAGACACTCCTTAAGGGACTGACCCACAATTCATTCTGTTAAAGAATTCATGAAAAGTAGGAGTGACACGGGAACCCCGGAAGCAAACCCAGAAATAAACACAAACAAACAAAAATGATTGAGAATGTTAGCAAAACTCATGATGGAAATGTGATATTACAGTGATACAATTGGGAGGGAGTAATATCCCATAATTATTACAGATGTTCTGATTGGACTGATAATGGTACTAGTTTTTTCATTTGAAACTGCCTTAAATGTTGCATAAGGTATCGTCAGGAAATGCCAATCAAACATACAGATCTGATGCAATAGCATATTAGCCCCATAGAAAAAAAGGTTTGGGTAAATAGTTATGGGACGATTAATGACAATATCAGTGTGATGCTAGCAGAGAGTCATTTTCAAAATGCCAGTATCTGATGGATACTTGTTATCTGACAATACAGAAGGTTTATTATTTAAATGTCCACTTATAGCCCTTGGATCAGTAGTTCAACATTCAAATGACATTCATCAACTGCTGTAGGGTCCAATATTTCAGCCAAAGTGTGGACATCTAGATTGGAGCAGAGTTATTACAATTGGCTTGAAACACTAGAACTGACTCCACTAGAGCTACCCATGGAGTTTAGTCAAGAACAGAAAATCTCTCTATTCTTTTCTGAGGCTGAGCCAGAATCTGCTGTTATTCATACATTAGAATCATACGGCAAAGGCCCTTTGAATACATCTGTACAATATAAGTCAATATGACTACATATAATCGGATGGGAATGGGGCCAAATATTGCATTTTTCAAGGTGCAAATGGGTAATTGCTGTCAGTCTACTTTATTCAACGTGGCATCTTGATGTAATGGAAGCAAAATGATACTGTACAGCTTGTAATGATTATTTTTGAAGGGAATTTTCTTGGTATAAATGCCCATAGCTTGTTTTAGCTTCCCTGGTAACATCATTGTTTGTAAAGTGTGAATTATTGTCTTCATCAGTACTGACAGCCTCACCTTAAATACTTTAGATAGCAGAAAAACGACGACCAAACTACAAACTATGGCGTTCTAGAAAACAAAGGAGTAAAAAGGCTGAAGTAATCTATGTTGTCACAAATGGAATAAAAAAACCAGCCGCTTTTGATGAATCACCGCAATCTACATATTTTCTTGCATCTTTCCCCCAAAGATCTCAAAACCAGCGATAGAATCTTTTAAACAAACGTTTTTCTACTCATTTGGCAACACTTAAATGAAGTAACAAATAGCACTATAGTTTACCACCATTCACAGACGAAATTTAATAAAAGAAACTCTATGAATGAAGCCGTTTACAGCAAGCAGCCTATGTGTATTGACTTCTTTTTTTATGGAGAAATGTATCGTCATCCATGCAGCACTGAGAGCAGGATAAAAGGGCCATTTCACCAATCCAACTGCAGAATCGATACTCTTTATATGTACGCTTTAAAGGTATTACTGTGTGCAATTAATTCAACATCCATGACCTCAGCATTGTACAGTTATCATCACAAATAAATGGTGCGGCTGAAAGCTGACATGGCAAATATCACAGCGTTAATGAGGAAATCAAATGTTTCATTTGTTATACTAATAATGTATTAACCCTTAGCTAAAACCAGAAACAAGAAAAATGATCTCCTTGATGAATACAAATAGCATTTACATAGCCATCAGGATGCAAACATTTAGAGCAAACGTATGGCTCAACACTGCCTGAAATACAAAATATTGGCGCACCATTTTATTAATGCACACCATGCATTTGCTCTCAGCATGTTAACATTTGATTTAACTGACTTAGCCCTGCATACATGGGCCAAGCGATACCAATTTTCACAGCAACTGGAATTAGCAAATTAGCTAGCAAGTTGGCCGAGGAAGGAGATGTGAGCAAGGTAGATGAGGGATGATGAAGACGTGTGGTGAAAGAAAAACAACCATTCTTCAACTTGGAATTATTTTGGGATCAACAGAGACGACGTGTTACAAGCACAGGTAAACCCTACGGCATGCATAGAATCCCAGAAGGTAAAAGCTTATATACACACTGTCATTTCTGTATACTCTGCACATCATATCGCCATGACAATACAGAACAATGTTCGATGCTGACATTAGGAGGATATAAACACTGATACTTGACATGCCAGCAGTTTGTCATAAACAGTTTGTATAGATCTGAAAGAATATCATATAAACCATCACTTGGCACTCACAAATCAACCAAAAACACTTCATTAAATCTAAAATACATTTTTTTTTTTTATTGATTTTCCATTTCCATTTTCAATCACTCATTTTTTCCCCCTCTTCTAAATTCCATATCCATTTATCTCTTCCTTACGTCTCTGGGAACCTAACGACACTGCCGACCAAACTCCTGGGCTCACGCAACTTATTTCTATGATATCTCTTTTTTAAGAAGCAGTTTTGAAAGTTATGTATTGATGTTATATAATGTTGGTTTGATTACAGTAGGTGAATTAAGCCACTGCACTGCAAGCTTTGGTGTAGCTTTAAAGCTTCATCCTTGACTTTTCCACCGAATCTTGAAGGCCCAATTTCTAATGAGTACTTGGATCCATTTCAGAAATAGATATTCAAATTGTTCATTTGAAGGGAATACATTTAAAAAAAATAACTACAGATCTGAAAAGAATATTAAGTAAGGGGGTTCTACATTTCTGCCATATTTTCTCCGCTTTTTTTTTTTTTTAATACCATGTACTTTCCTCTTGCATGTCATGAATTAGAAATGAACATATTTCGGCAAATGCATGGCCCATATGAAGCCCATGCAGTCTTCTGATGTATTCGAGTGAGTGTCCAAATGGCAGTATCTTCTTTGACATGATGCCGGCCTTATAAAGCAATCACAGCTATGCCAACAGTATAACACGGACAAGGAGTAACACCAAATTCTGCAAAAGTCTACAAAATGCCTTTATTGGTTTTCTGATGGATTCTAAATGTCACTGCTCGATAGCTACAGGCACTGTGTATGTGAGTAAAAAAAAACAAAACCACACATTTATACCCTTAAAATGAAAATATACCATTTCTCATCTGTGACCTGTCAGAACAGAGGTCCTGTTGTCTGCCATTAACTGAGCGCTGCCCAACATCCACTGAATATTAATGGAGCCTTGAGTGTGTGCATTTAATTCACAATCCTATCTGCATCTTCTAGGGCACAGGCGCTGTGTGTGCGTGCGTGTGTGTGTGTGTGTGTGTGTGTGTGTGTGTGTGTGTGTGTGTGTGTGTGTGTGTGTGTGTATCTCCGAGCTTCTGTGGGTTTGTTCATTAGAGAGGACATCTTTTGAGTTCAAGGCCTGTCACACACTCTGCTTGAGATTAGTCCTTTTGCTGCATGTGTGTCTTATTAAGCAGTCATCAATAAACGCAATAAAAAAGCAAATTATCGATGCCATGACAACCAGGGGATACAGGACACTGTAGAAGCCAAATTGAGAAAACAGCCGGTTTGATTGACAGCCTACATGATGAGCTGATCCCAATTAAATCACATGAATCTCATCTTGTTAGCGGAATGCTCAGGCGACACAATCATGAGTCTAAATGCTCAAACTATAGAGTGATCATGTCGGGATGTGACAGCGTTTCAACAGGCAAGGCCAATCGAAGGCTCCAGCTGAAAATGAAGAAAATGTGTGCTATAGCAACAAAGTGGCACGAGGATTTACATTGAAATCTCATCCCCCCCCCCCCCCAATTGTGACAGTGCGCCAAGATGGAAAACGTGCGCAATGTGCGAAGTCACCAAAGCCCACAGATTGCGCACACATCAAAGCCATGAAAGAGAGAAAAAAAAATCTCCAGTCACGTCTAGGAAGGAGGGGGTAAACATATGTCTTACCTCAAAGACTCGATGCAAGCACCGGAATTATGATGATGAAGATGATGATGATGATAATGGCCCGTCCATGTATCTAAACACGATTTTCTTCTTTTCTATCCTCTGCCGGCGTGTCGATGATGTTCAAACTAGGCCATTTCTTCCCGGATCGCAATTATTTCTCAGGAGGGTAACGAGTCGCAGGCTTTCGCACATCAGTACACCTTCTCGGTGTCTGTCTTTCTCCGGCTTTTCCAAAAAAAGCACACCTCATACTGCCCCCTCCTCCTCCTTCTCTCATCCCTCGCTGACAACACCCAGCGCTGCTCCTTATCCACAGATATTTGACTTTAATTATGTTGAGATGCAGCAGCGAGGGCAATTCAAACAGGAGGGGGGGTAAAAAAAAAAAAAAAAAAAAAAACACTCAGTAAAATAAATGCGTAACGCTATAGCGTCAAGACTCGACGCGTTGCTTCAAAAGTCAGCGCAGTGATCTGTCCTCTTTTCCCCACATGTCCATGCTGCTTATAATCCACTGTAGCTGCCCTGCTACAGCACGAGAGCCTTCCAAAAATAAAACACGGATTTTCTTTCCGATAAAAATGTAAATAGCGCTCGAAAGTCACCCGACAAAAATCAGGTGTCCAATCTCTTCTTTGCGCGCGTGCGTGGTGCTCTCTCCTGGTTTCACTTGGTATCTGATGCTCGTGACAGAAAGTCGAGGCTCACACTGACAAACAGGACGGGGATCTTCCGTTCAGCCTTCATGCTTTTCACAACAGCAGCCATAAATGCTTAAAATACACGGATGCAGTGGTTTTTTATTTTGAAGCCCGGAGCCTGCACTGAAGAGGATCCCACGGCTCGTGCCACAGCTCTCTCTCTCTCTCTCTCTCTCTCTCTCTCTCCCTCTCTCTCTCTCTCTCTCTCAGTGCGGTCTCTCTCGCTTATAGGACACCACTAGCAATATTTCAATCTCACAGCTAGTTGTCATGACGAGGATGTGCGACGCATAAATCAATGAGAAGGCGCCTGCTCTGTTGCTATCGTCATGTGAGAGGGAAAAAAATCATGCATGTGAACACAGGGTCGAGATTTGCTTTGATTGTTTTTTGATGAGGATCTGCACCATGCTGACGTCAGAGCTCTCTCTTTTTTCTTTTTTTTTTTTGCTTATTGGCGCCAGGCAGCCATTTATTTTACAACCTTAAAACATAACCCATCAACAGTGGTAAGAGAAGGCAATGCAATGTTAAAAATATACCAGTGCCACTTATTTAATGAATATTCATAATATCTATGAAATCTATTTCCATAGCCTAAAATAACTATTCTCGCAGGGAACTTTATTTTGCAGGTTGTATAGTCCTCTATAGATTCCTCTAAAGTTTCTGATGTTTAACTATAACTTTCATAATAAAGTTCCTGGAAGTTAATTTGCAATTTTATAATATTTCAGGGAAAGGGGGAGACTGTGCAATGCTTTTACTTGAATGTGCAATAACTTGATTTGTCCACGCAAAAAACGTGCTGTAAACTAAAAAACAGGATGGACTTAAAGATGTCACAGGGAACAAGCATGTTTTTTTTTTGTTTTTTTTTACATTACAAAAAGAATAAACTAAGAATTTTTTGACAAATTATAGAAATAAAGGCATACATTAACTTGCTCTTAGCTCTGGTTTGTTTTCCACCAACTTCAGAGGGAAATGGCTTTATACGGTGGCCAATGTGTGCAAATGCACTGCAACAGCCAAAACGATTTCCAGTAGGAGAAAAAGGCTACAAATGTGATGCGATTTAAAAAAAAACTCCTATGCCAACGTAAGTCAACAACAAATAAAATCAAAAAATAAATGTAATGCAAATGTAAAACAAACTGCTACAAACAAGACAAATGCATTGACAGCAAACATGCTAAAAAAAATACATAATTCATATTCAAAACCACAAAACAAATGCAACAGAGAAACACTGCAAATCGAGTCAAGTGTTCAAAGCCTGCAGGAGGTGCTCAATGGAACTGTTTTTTGGGTGAAATGTATATTATGGAAAAACAATGTACTGTAGATTCAGGCTGCCAGGAGCTCAATATCCAGGACCACTGGGGGAGACATGGCTGGTCTTTGGGAAATACAGCCACCTAAAAAAACATAAAAGCTCAGCATGAAGAGAGGGAGTAGAGTAGCAAGGTCGTTTCTTACTAGTGGTTGACTCCTGGTACCTTGGGCAGACCGAGACAAGCCAAACTTAAGCTTGTGATTTTTTTTTGTTTTTAACTGTATCATATGTAAGCAGCTAGCTGTACTAGTTGATTCCACCTGAGAGCTGTGAGCACCTGGAAAGAGTTGCTGTTTACTTTTGTAACCAGCAAGAAGCTTTGGACATCCTGGGGGTTGACGTTGTAGGACCAGGGAAGGGGAAGGGACTCTTGAGAAAAAAACTGGTAGACCAACCAAGACTCTGATACCAAGGATTATGAGAAACAGTGCCGGACAGAATCATTGCAAAATGCTTCCCACCTCTTTTGCTCTTCACATGTTGGTCTCTGTAAACAGCCTTAGCCAGCTGGTATGCTATAGTGGAAGATACAGTACCACTCATCTACAAACAGAAACTGACACTTGTGATACCAAAATCCAGGCATGTGCTTACAGATTCTGCATTATTATAATAATTTGTAAATATATAGGAGAGAAGCAAGAGGGGTGTCCTGCAAGAGTTTCTTCCAATCTCTAGAGGCCTACCTTGGACAGAATACTGCCTCACTACTGTATTATGCGTCATCCAACTGCCATACATTGGTCTCTGGGGCTGTGTTTTTCTGGTGAAGCTGCAAGATGGGGAGGGTCTGGTTTTGGTGATGTCAGCATTTCATCTTGACTTTAAGATGGTAATGTACCTTTGATAGCTTCATTGCACTTAGTAACTCTGCTGGAGAATGGAGAAAATTTCTTCCTGTTGTGCGGGGCTCAAGTATCTTGGGCTTTACGTCACTAACGAGGCCCGCCTTCTAGAGGGAGATTGCTTCGACATCCACAGAGATGCATGGCTTGATAGATGGTGAAGGCAGAGCTGAATCTGAAGGTCACACTTAACTGTTCATTCATGTAATTTTCCAAATGAAGAAATTGAGGACACAAATGCCAAAAACAAGCTCCTTTCAGCAGGTGAAGACTCTAGTATGCGTTACAGAGCTCAGACCTGGTGAGGCTTTGTGCTTCAGCGCCTGGCACACTTCCAGAGCATGTCCCACTGGAAGGTGATATGTGGAAGACATAGGATACACGTGAGGGATTTAATATCTCAGGTTGCAGGAATGCCTTAGGATATGCAAGGAGACAAAATATCTGGAAAAGAAGGAAGTCCAAGTCTTATTCCCACACAACCTAAACCAATATAGAAGACTGGACGGATAAATAGTAACAGGACTCTTAGTTTTATTGTTTAATGTGACCAGATGAGTTTTTTGTTGCTCTGTCATTGTTGTTTTTCAGCGTTGATTCGTGTAAATCAGTTGATTAAATACTATGCAGTTGTGGAATACACCAAGGAAATATCTTGACATGAATTGAATATTTAAAATATGAAGAGCAACATAAACCATTTTCGACAATGTGGCAACACAATTAGACACTTATTTATCCATAAGAACAAAATGAGGCATATTCTCACCTGATTTAGAAGTACAATTCTGTATGTGAGTGTTTACTGCAAGGTAAGCTTAAACTCTCCCCACAGTTCTTACTTTCACCATCAAATGTGGATTTAATTACCAAATTGCAGCTCCCTATTGTGATGACATGAATAGGATTTACTTTAGTTTGACTTAAATCATTTTAAATCCTTAATTTGTCGACCATGTTCAGTGTTTCTCACAGCGTTTTTATAGTAAAGGCAGCTCCCCAATGCAAACTTGTTATTCACAAAAATATGTATTTTTATTTTTTGGAAAGTTGATGTCCCCCAGCAAACAATCCAGCTACCCCCTTAACTGGTGATTACTGCTGTTATTTCTTCTTCTATTGACGTTTTGTCCTGGCTGTAGCCACTGAAGGGTGTTAGAACATGTTCTGGAAAGACTTTCCATTCCCAAATGTAACTTTCAAAAATGGTTCCAAATGAGGATTTTTTGTCTTTCTGAAAGGATTTACAAACTTAACATCAATTAAGAGATAGAGGAGATCTTAACTTGACAGCTAAAAGCTGTAAACCACAGGGATCATTACAGAGAAAAACGATTCTCAGTAGTAGCTGTGTAGGTCAAGAGGTCGCTCTTATGGGTTAAGAAGGGTATTATAGATCCAACATCTATCATCTGCTTACTGAATACGATTCCTAAATCAATGTTTTGCAAAGTACACTCTTGAATGTGTTGCATAAAGTAAGAGTTGATTGGATGAGCTGATAAGGCAGATGTGCTAATTGCTGGAAGATTTTGACTGATTGAGAATGCCATTATCTATTCTGATGGCTGACAGTCCTGACAACAGAGCCCTCTATTATAGCAAAACGATCATTATCATTCACATCATTATGTGCCTCTTTGTGCAACAATTACTCAACAGGCCTCTGACTAGAAGCCAGTTCAACTATTGTTAAAGTCACCTTTATATGATCATTTAACTTCCTTCAACATTTCAAAGAGACGTCAATTATTAGGGTTGGGAATCTTTGGGTGTCTCATGATTCAATTCAATTTCGATTCTTGGGGTCACGAATGGATTGAGAATGTATTTTTCGAATCAAAACTATTCTGGATTCATGATTCATGATTCAAGTCTATTTTTGAATTAGTACATACTTCAGGATCTACTCCAGTCATCTGAGAGACTGGCTGAATTTCTTGCTGCTCCATTTGGCATTCTACTGAGCTAGCATTAGCACTTAGCAGGGAGTGGCTGATTAGCCAAATATATATATTTTTTGAAGTTATGAATCTTTAAAAAATCTCAGAAGATGAGAATGGCAGAATTTCATCCCACCTCTATCAATTGTAAGTGAGTAGCTGCAACAGGAACAACAACAGTATGGTACCATCTATTAAAGTGTTTCTGTGGTAAATTAAAATGCTGAATAAATGTTTGAACTGAACCAACATTTTCATCTTGATTGTTAAATAAAAATAATGCAAAAAGAAGACAGTGTAAATGTAAAAACATTTTGTACTATACTTTAAAATGACTGACTGTTGTTTAACTGTTATGTTTATGCTTTTTACCTGACTATGGTTTATGAACTATTGTTTATTTGATTGTAATTCTTTTATTATTCTAGGGTCTTATAACCTCTGGATGAAGGCCTACAGATGAAAATTCTCCTCACAGGTAACTCAGGTGCTCATCATCAGTTTTGTATTGATAATTTGCAAATAAAGACATATTTTTAGTTCTATAAAAAATAAGGATAATAG